AAGGCTCTTTTGGTGCGTACGTGCATCACCTTTGCCAAGCGACGGTGTCCTCTGCGACCCAAAGAGGTTCACAGGTGTGCAATTGCTCTCTATAGAGCGCACACCTGTAACCCAAATGCAGATCTAAGTCGGCGCTGGGTCAATCGCTTTCTACATCGTCAAGTGGACTTGGCGCGCATGCTGTCTTCAAAGACGTCAGAGGCAAAGACGCAAGCATTCAATCAAGAGAACGCTGAGGCATGGTTTGCTTTGCTTGACGAGACGCTGGTAGAGCATAGCATCCCCTTTAAGGACATCTATAATATGGATGAGACTGGGTTCTCTCTCAACGAGCATCACCGAACCTTAGTCATCACTGACACCGTCTCAAACCCAAACGCAAGGCGCATCACTGGAGAGAAGATGGAGAACATCACAGTGATTGAATGCGTACGTAACTCCAGAGAATCTCCTGGTGCGTGCCTGCCAGTTGTTCTGCTCAGGCGCAAGACACTCTTCTCTTCAGAAGTCTTTAACGATTGCGACTATGGAGATCTGCGGGTGATGCTAGCAGAGAGCGGTTACCAGACGACTCAATCGATCTTAGAATGGCTAGCAGTCTTTGATGAGGCGACCAAAGCAGGGTCAGAATGGCGGTGCCTCATTGTGGACGGGCATGCGTCACACACAACGCTTGATTTTTTCCAAGCGGCGTACGATTGCAAGATTGCAGTCATCGTTCTTCCACCAAACACAACATCATGGCTACAACCCCTGGATGTAGTTGTCTTTGCAAAGATCAAGGCTCTCTTCAAAGAACATCTGAGGCTTCACTTACTGGCCGGCACAAGGAGAATGCAAGCGCCGACGTTCTTAGCGATCTATGCAGACGTTCAAAGACGCATTATTACATGGCATTCGGTGTCTCAGGCGTTCTCTGCGTGCGGCATTGCAGAGACAAAGATTGACGCCAGACGACTGCTTAAGCACTTTGACGATGCGCAGAATCAAGACTCACAAGGATCGACGCAAGCCTCAAGTTCGCAGACGCCTTTGACACCTTTAAGACCTTCTCTTCCCACGCCTCAACGGTCCATCCCAAGCACTCCATTGGACTTTTGTAGGGTGTCAGGTGAGATTCTCCAGTCGAGTCAAGGGAAGTTGCAGAGAGCGCAGAGAGCAGCAATGAGTGCACCCCTTCAAGATCTAGCATCGCAGCTGAACGTTGCGCAGAGCGATAATGTCCTTCTGCAACAAGAGAACGAGCAATTGAGAGAAGCAGCGGCAGAGAGAGCAAGCCGCAGCACGAGAGGCTCTCGTCTTGCGATGCGCGTCTTGCGCAACAATGTCTTCACTCTCTCTCAGCTGCTTGCCGACCGCGAGAACCGAGATCGTGCTGTGGCAGAGCGTCAAGGACGCACCAGACATCGCAGAATTGCTGATCTTGAGTTTGTCGACGCAGAAGAATGGGTGGACAACGACGACTACGAAGATGCGATGGACATTGGCCTATGGTTGCCAGAACCAATGCCAATCTTTGACGATTGATCCGATTTTGACGCTTGTTCTTTGACACGCTTCTCTGCATGCACAAGGTGCATGAATGACGTCATAAACCGCCATAATGCATGCTCTCGACCCCTATAATGCCGTTCATTCACGATCGAATCCATTTGCTTGATGCGTACGGTGATCGGTTGCGCATGCGTCGCAGTCGCGCATGCGTCGCGGTACGGTACAGTACTCGTTCGTAACTATGCATGCAGGGTCTATATACGTCGCTGCGAAGGTGTGAGTGCGCGGGCCGATCGTGCACGGCCCCGCACCATAGACCGGCCAGTTCGCGCGGTGATGAGCTGTTCCTGCGGCGGCCATAGGCCTACAGTACAGTACATGCTCGTGACTAAAAGCTCCTGCTGCTGCGCATCACGCTGCGTGCTGCATCGCAATTAAGCTGGACCCTGCCAAACTCCACATATCCGACTCATCATCCAGCAGAGCAGCAGCAT